TCTCTCTCTCTCTCTCTCTCTCTCTCTCTCTCTCTCTCTCTCTCTCTCTCTCTCTCTCTCTCTCTCTCTCTCTCTCTCTCGTGACTTTGTTTTTTCCCTTTCATTTTCTTGTTTTTTTACTTTCGTGTATTTGTTTTTGTTTTTTCTTTCTTTGTTCTTTTATTTTTGGTGTCATGCCGAGTGAACCGGGGCCCAGCCATTCAGCAACGACTGGACGTTTGAGTGAACCGGGGCCCGACCATTCAGCAACGACTGGACGTTCCCTTGGCCGACCCCCTTAGACTGCGGCGCGTATATGGGAAGGCCCCGCAGCCGATGTATGGGCCAAGTACTGGTGGTTTAAGCTGAAAGGCGATTGCAAGGAAGTTTGATGGTGTATAAAACGCCGATGCTGGCCAACAATTTGCAGATCACCCAATTGGCGTTGCAATCCCAAAATGTCTTGGGTTGCTTGCTCGTCAATCATTTGCAGATCACCCATGTGGTCTGAGAGTGGTGGGGCGCAAATTTGTGGTTCATCCAAATGATGATGGTCAACCATTTGCAGATCCCCCATGTGGTTTATGCCTCGTGGGTTTAATTGCAATTTGGGCAGATTATGTTCCAATCCCTCAACGTTTGGGGGCACATCCTGAATAAGGATTGTCCCTGGAATCGGGAGTGTACTCTAGGCAGGGACCACATTCTGTCGTACATGTGAGTCATGAATATCTAACGCTGAACTTCAGCAGTTGAAGAGCATAAGACATGGTGTTGTGGCTGCCTCGAGACAGCTGGACTGTGTACAGGAGGCATAGGAGTGGATATTGCCGTTTGAAACAAAGGAACTGCAACAACCTGTGGAGCAGGCACAGTGAGAATAGGGGCACATAAAGAAACAGGTTGCTGATCCCCGGACAAGTGACGATGCCGTGCATGTCGTCGACGATACACAACAAGAGGAGTAGTGGTGCTGCAAACAGAAGATGAACATGTCCCTGGCAACAAACGTGGAACGATGGGAAAAATGGAAAACCAAAGAGTTTGTTCGCAAGCGAGACCATGGAGGAGATGGGGGTGGCAAGGAGGAACACAGTCGTCTGCAGCCAAGGATTGGATATGGCAAGATTTTGGAAACACGTGAGTATCGAAGAGATTGTGATTTTCTTTGCGTTGGAGATGCAGCAGAAGTAGCAGAAAAAGGAGAGTACAAAGAATTTCATCATTAGAAACTGCAGCAGCGAAAGTCGCAGCAGTGGAAGCCGCAGCCTTGGAGGCCCTAGTAGTGGAAGCCGCAGCCTTGGAGGCCTCAGTAGTGGAAGCCTCCGCAGTGGAAGCCTTAGCCGTGGGAACCGGAAACCACGACATTGGAAACCGCAGCGATGGAAACTGCAGTAGTAAAAACTGTCGGAGTGAAAATCGGAGTTGTAGAAACTGCAGCGGTGGAAATTACTGCAGTGGAACCCGCTGTAGTGGAAACCACAGTAGCAGCAAATGAGCAAGCAGGAGCAGAACAAGAGTGACGTGGATGCAAGGAAGTAGTGGATGATGCAGGGACCATTGCAGCATGCTTCGGAACCACTAAAAGAGGCGCGTCACATGCATAGGATAGTGACGTTGGCGGGAGCGCATGTAGCAGGTTTACCCCTTACCAAGGGTTGGAGGGGAATGCCCACGAGAAAGCACGTGACGAGGAAGTGTTGTTGCCGCAATTCAAAAGCCTTGCCAATTGTTATAGATTTGTTCAAATCTGGTCAATTGTCTAGTGAACACACTCTCAAGTTGATGGGAAGGGATATTGGAGGCCGCAATTGGATAGCGAATGACACAGAAATCCCAAGCCAGTGCTTTATCAAATACGGTCATGCGAAGCGAATCATCAGAGCGTTGTGACCATAGGTGCATACCTAAAAAGGTGCACGAGCCATCTGTCATTATAGTTTTCTTCCACTCGAGCTCATTGTGCTTTGGAGGAGGAGACAATTGCCCCCATGAAAGAACATCATCAATAAGACGATAAGTGAAAGCATATTGTTGAACGGCTTGAAGATCACGTTGACAAACGCCATCAACAAAGCTTGTTTAATTTCAATTCAACGTTAGATTAGAAATTTATGGGTCAGCATTTGTTCTCATTGGAATACCGATAATTTGTTTTCGAAGTGTGTCATCTCTAGTGCACATAATATTTTGTACAACAACGCGAAGATGCAGGAAAATATGAAAAATTGAAAGGGCGTCAAAGCTTGAATTGGTTGTCTATTAGCCACAATGAGGTCCTCGAATAACCAAGTTGAGGGCATAGCAACACGGACGCATATGAGTATGCCAAAGCGCATAAGCATGTTCTTCATCAACAACTTT